AGAATTCTTCGGTCGATTTTCAGGTGCTAAAATCATCAATAATGCCACGAGAACTTTCAAACGGATAGAAATTTGCCGCGAGTAAAAACTGACGTCACGATTTCGTAAGTAGGGGCAGACCATAGCACAGTTGCCATGTGTTGAAATACGATTGAGAACTCCAGAAATATTAGTTATTCAATAATTCATAAATTCTCAATTGAGTATTGGTAAAATTCCTTATTAGCAATAAAAATTCAATTGTCTCAAAATGTTCCCTTATGATTTGTGGCTCATTGCTTATAATGAATTTGTGTAAATAATACTTATATTAATCCACACTAGAGGACATTTGAATCGGTGAACGTGACAACCACGCCGCACAACTTGTGGGCGTGGTTTTGTCAGTTCTCAGCATTCAGCACGAGGTTGCCAAGTCTCCAACATTCTGGAGAATGAGAAACAGTTGGACATGCTGGTTGCTCGAAAAAATCAAGAATCTAAAACATCATGGGTTCCTCCTATCATGTTTTATTCAACGACAGGACTCTGACATCTTTTTGATAACTTGATTATGATTGGTGACTTGACAACCTTGCTTCATAAACGGAAATGGAAGATTATCTAACCAATAACGAAACAGCATAAAAACGGGCGTCACCATTTATTCGACGTATCGCCAAATGGCGGCCACGAAGGTTCGTTTAAAGCTCTGAAATTCAACAATTTCGAATAACGCATAGACTCATTATTTACAAAAAAGCGTGATAGTCTAAGATCCGAACCTAAATCGACCTTCACCGAGCTGATAATAGAACGAAATATATTTTATCATGAATTTAGTATAGTAGAAAACATATTAAAAATGGGTTGGCTGAAAAAATCCTGGGCAGACTATTTTTAATTATTTTTCGAATAATGATTTTTAATCAAATGTTGCAACATCAGGATAATAAAAAAATTTTGTCCTGACTGAAAGTATAAAACGTATAGAATGTGCAGCCGTTGGGTTGTCTACTATTTGCCTGGGCGAACTACTGGGTTGTCAGGTAAACACAGGTATATCGATGCCAGTTACTTTCACTGGATTGGATAATTGAAAAAAAATTATATCATCATAAGCGCTGTTTAATTGCGAACACGTTGATATATGGTTGTCTGCGAAAATTCCGGTCCTATTAGGGGTTTGCGAATTTTAAAGATTTCAATTTCAACGCGCGTGGAAGTGTGTGACAGAGAGATCCGAGGTAAGTATACTGTGTAATAATAAAGGACCCAACATCGCAGTCGCTTGTGATGGGACCCTGAATAGTAGAAAGTGTGCGAAGTGTGCGAAGTCAAATCCTGAAAACTATGGTTGGCATTTTGATGATTTCTTAAAACCAACAGGTTTTATCGGAGATCAAACTCCTTTGAAAATCCAGGACATTGTCGAAATGGAAGCAAATGAGAAAGAATCTAATGAATCAGACGAATTCGAGAGTCAAAATGATACTTCTGATGAATCAGATATTGAATAGAGAATATTTATTAGAATTTATTTTTCATTAATATTATTTTTGTATTTATACTGTTTTTTAATAAAATTTTAAATCGTAATACAAGATGTCTAGTCTATCTTTTTTGTTATTTCTTAATTTAAATTTTTGGCGGTCCACTTTGTTTCTATTTCCAGAAAGAGCAAAAAAATTTCAAAGTAAGTAATTGATATTTTTATTGTCTATTATAGATTATAGATATAATTATTATTATGGTTATAACGCAATATATTGATATTATATTGTTTTTATATATTAGTATTATATTAAATATATTTAATTATTATGTAATTAATTAATTTTTTTTTTGCTACTGAAATATCAGTTGCTCCAAAATAACACGCACTGTTTACTATATGAAGGGTGGTAGAGGTACCTCAAAGGTGGTACCTCTACCCTCCATAGTTTACACACCGAGCATGCGCACTTTCTACTATTCAGGGTCCCATCACAAGCGACTGCGATGTTGGGTCCTTTATTATTACACAGTATACTTACCTCGGATCTCTCTGTCACACACTTCCACGCGCGTTGAAATTAAAATCTTTGAAATTCACAAACCCCTAATAGGACCGGAATTTTCGCAGACAACCATATATCAACGTGTTCGCAATTAAACAGCGCTTATGATGATATATTTTTTTTTTAATTATCCAATCCAGTGAAAGTAACTGGCATCGATATACCTGTGTTTACCTGACAACCCAGTAGTTCGCCCAGGCAAATAGTAGACAACCCAACGGCTGCACATTCTATACGTTTTATACTTTCAGTCAGGACAAATTTTTTTTATTATCCTGATGTTGCAACATTTGATTAAAAATCATTATTCGAAAAATAATTAAAAATAGTCTGCCCAGGATTTTTTCAGCCAACCCATTTTTAATATGTTTTCTACTATACTAAATTCATGATAAAATATATTTCCTTCTATTATCAGCTCGGTGAAGGTCGATTCAGGTTCGGATCTTCTACTATGAGAAGTATTGCAAAAATTGATTTAGGTTCCTAACGACACAGTGGAGTAATTGAATGCCAATAATTCATCATCAGTCCACTCGCCCATTCTGCCCGCCTGAATCTAACAATGTCTGGTGGGTATCGCCATTCCCATAAAGTCCAAAACATCTTTGCTCGGCATCTCCATCATTAATACTCTTCCATGGCAAACAGCTGCTTCACAAGAACTCGGCATTATTTCATTGTGGTTGACGGATAGTAGTTTGATACAATAACCTCTGAATGATGACATATTGTCGCAAGGAGGCACATTTACTTTTTGAATTCTATTTTCGTTTCCTTTAAGATTGAACGTACGTTTTGATGATTTCTCGGGTTTCATAGCTTCGCATGGAGCGTTCCATCTTTTTTAATAATATAGATGTCAACATCAATAAAAACTAGAATGTTCAAAAACATGAGACAACCGTTTCATTCTCGTTGTTGTTGAGATAAGACCGAGGATAAAACTAAGGGTGTTGCAGAATTTAAAAAGAAATCGACTTCTCATTATTGCACAGTGTATATGCTCGTATTTGAATGGGAATAAATTCTCACCACAGGATGATTACTGATGAATCAACCTATAGTTGGAAGAAAACATCATCATAAATCAGATGAGCCGTTCGGGAGAAACGCAACTTTGTATTTTTTACATTCCGCCGCATTGTTCCTACCCTACAAAGCGCCGTCTGGAATTTCCATTATTGTTAATGCCATGTTGGATCTAAATCTGATTTAAATTCATAATTGTCGACCTAGGAATTTTTAGGTGTATATATTTGTAGGTGAAAAGAATGAATAAGACATCTTTCAAATTTTTAACCATGAAAATGGAATGAAATAATCTACCGCAAGTTTGTATTTCCAAATTTCGATTCAACATTCGTAATTTTTGACCTTGAAAAACTCTAGAAATGAGATAATCATCCAACTTCTTGGAGGTGTCATCTCAAATTCGCAAATTTCGACTCAAAATATCTTAGACCTCATAGAAAAGTCCCAGGTGAAAATTGTCCTGAGATTTCTATTCAGGCGACTCGAAAATAAGAAATAACAAAATATTGCTAGACGTCTTGGAAGCGCCATTTTGAATCTTTCAATGTTGACTAGAAATACGTCTTAACTGACAAACTGACCTAGAAAAACATCGAGTGAACAGACAGAGAGACAGGTAGACAGACAGTTTAAAAAAAAAATAGGTACCACATGTAAATTTCATCGATCTGATGAAGTTTTTTATGAACTTTGGAACGATTGCAAAATGGAATAAAACAGAAGGCAACCGAAATTCCAGGACATTTTTTCGACATCTCCAGAAGATATTTATAGCTCAATGTATTTTGAGATAATGAATCAAGGTAATTAGGTATCCAGAGTCTAGGTGCCAGAATCTGTTAGAGAAAAAAAAGGTCAGCCTCCACATTGGAGACATTCTTACTCACTATAAATGAGAACAAGGATATTTTGAAATAGTATGACAATCGAGATGGCAATGATTCATGGAATATTGTGCGACATTTTAAATGTTGACTCAATAATTATAGATGCCTTTTTTCTAATTATGTCGAAAATATAATGTGACATTTTTCAAAACTGAGTTTTGCAATGTAACCAATTACATAATGAGGAATATGTTATCACTGTTTGTGATAGTGAACTTGATTTGATCAGTTCTTTCAGATGATGAAAACATTTCTGCATCATATCACACATGGGGTAACATTTACTATGGGTTTGGAAAACTGAGCTATCCAAAGCATTTTTTAAATGCTGGTATTTGCGCACAGCCAATTAACTCCGACTATACATAGAGTAAGTTCGTTTCTCCTTATTATGCAATAGATGGAGATATAAAAACTAACACATCTAACTCCAAACATGAAAATGATTTTAATAATGAATAAATTAATTTCTTTCATTTCAATATCAGTTGTTTTTGTATTGTAGACTTTTCAATTAGGCTGAAGATGGTCTTTTATAAGACCGAAACATGTCCCTCATGATTTAGTAATAATATCATTAAAATTTGTGTAGATGACTTCGAGCATTCCTTCTTTCCTGTCGAATAAATTAATCGATTTCAATAAAATCAATGTACTTGAGGTGAGGTGGATAGGAAGATAAGAGATTGTTTCTTTACTTCTGGAAATTATTAGTCAGTTAGGGAATAGGTTCTTCTCTAGAAAATTAATTTACTCTACTTTGGTTGACACGAAACACTGAATAGTGAATACACCATAATTCTTTTAACAAGGACTCTGTGAAGAGAGTAAAGTGTAAAGCTTGTGTAGAAAGAGTTTCCTGTTTCAACTTTTAACCATGGATAACTGTGAATCGCTGTGCAATTCGAAATATTCCGAAAGTTGCCTACACTTTCTCAGTATGTTTTAATGTTGCTCGGAGAATCAATTATTAATGGCCACATTTTTACACAAAAATATATATGCACAGTGAAAATAACATTACGTTATATGTACTTACCAATAACAACAACTTCTGTGTAAATGACGCCATTTTGATTTCCACTTTTCATCTTGTAATGGTCGTGAACACCTGAAAATGAGACAAATTGTTAGATTCTCAGGAACTGAAATGCCATTTCAAGTTCATTTATACGATCGGCACTTGATGATTTCGATAATTATATCAGTTGTTGTGATGTTCATATTATTTATAAAAATAGTGAAATAGATAAACTTTGTGGTCATTTAGGAATATAAAACTTGTAAATAACCGACTTTCTGAAAATAATTCTGAAAATAACCTAATAAACTGATATCGACATGTTGGCTGGGTCAGTGTCTAATTGAATATTATTATACTGAGCAAATAATTTAGAATTATTCGAAGTGTTATCTTCTTCACGTTACACTATGGCCATAAATAGGTATATAATCGAAGATAACAGTCGTGTATCAGTTATGGAATGATATTCTTGTTTTAATGTTGATCAGCCATAAATAACTGAAAATAGTTTCGTTAGAGTTAAAACAGGGTAGTGTATAGCCATAAATCAATTAAAAAGAAATACCGACACCAAAAGAAAGTTCATTTCTGCAATTATTTCACAAAAATCTATGATTTATCACAAAAAAAAAAGTATGTTTCCCTATAATGATAAAACATAAAAGTCATAGAATTTGAGGCACCGTTTAGATCAACATAAATGTTAATTCAGGGTGGCATAAAATCAAATACATCTACCTAATTCAAACCCCATGATTGCACAATTAAATAAATATAGCAGTATAAAATTCGGGGTCACATCCCTTTTTCTGCAAGTTCTATACTGCAAACATTACCAATTGTCAATTCCATACAAATTTCCGTGGAAGGCATAATCACGAGGATGATCATTTATTCAATTATTCTGGAGTGGCGTAAATACTTATTTAATACATACATATACACAAGACCGAAGAAAAATCTAATGTTTTGAGAATATTCGTTAGGGATATGTTTAATATATGAACTTCAAAACCACCTTGTATATACTTATCATCCCAACCAGCTTAATCTATATTAATATTATAAAGAGGAGAGATGAGATTGTTTGTTTGTATTGCATAGGCTCCGAAACAAGTAGACCATTTTGAAAAATTCTCTCATCATTAGAAGCCATCATTTTTTTTCATGTTCTGGTTCCCACGAAAAGGGATATTCCAGAACCAAGGGAAATAAGGTAGGAATTGGTGTTCTTCTTAAATTTCTGGAGGTTATATGCCTCGGGGAACACCACCCTTGGCAATGTGTTCCAGAGCCTCGCTGTTCGGTGGATGAACGAGTCTTTGGAGAGAGATGTTCTGCAGGTCTCCAAAGTGACCACGAAGGGGTGCGAAGCCTCAACTCGACGGGTTAATCTCGCGGAGACTGTCAAGGGAGGAACAATTGTTGATATTTCAGTCCATGAAAATATCTATAAAATAGAGCCAGATCGCCAACTTTTCTACGGTGTTCCAGATAAGTGAGTGAGTTTGTGAGCGAGGCAGCACCCACGAGACGAATTGCCCTTTTTTGGACAGAATCCAACAGTTTCAGGGTATGTTTGGGTGCTGCACTCCAAATATGCGCACAGTATTCCAGGACAGGTCGGATCTGTGCCTTATAGATCATAAGCAGCTGACTGGAAGTGAAATAGCTCCTGGCCCGAAACAGAAAACCAAGTTTTTGGGATGCACTTTTCGCAATTGATCTTACGTGATTTTCCCAAGAAAGGATATTGCAGATAGTAATACCAAGCATCGAAATGGATGTCTTCAAAGGTATGGTTAGTCCTGACATGCTTATGTTTGGCACAGTGAGATCGGCTTTTCTACAGAAAAGGCATGCTTGTGTTTTGTTTGCATTGAAATCTACCAAGTTATTGTATCCCCATTCGAGGATTGTTGCCAAGTCCATATTTATGTTGTCAAAATTTCTCCCACGTTTGTTTCTGATTTGCCTGGCTGGTATTGGAGCCCTGGAAGAGAAGCCGGTATGGAGGGTACTATCATCCGCCAAGCTGTGTACTGGACATGAAGTTGCTTCCAACAAATCGTTAATATGGATGAGAAATAGTGTTGGTGCTAGAATTGATCCTTGCGGAACACCAGCATTTATGGTAAGAGAGTCAGATGAAACTCCGTTGACCACTACTGTTTGAGAGAAAATTAGCTAGCAGAGAACATAGCTGGGGAGGCAAGCAATAAGATTGAAGCTTGGCAAGGAGTCCGTGGTGCCAGACTCGATCGAATGCTTTGGAGATATCAATAAGTGTAACGGCTAAGGTTTCACCATATTTTTCAATAGATTGCTGCCATATATGTGAGACGCAAGCGAGCAGGTCACCAGTTGATCTCTGCTGACGGAAGCCAAATTGCCTATCGTTGATAATACCTGAATGTTCCAGGTATTTCATGAAATAATAGATAGCAGTGCGATCGGTCTGTAGTTGCTAGGTAGATTCTTTTTGCCTTTTTTAGGAACTGGCTGTACTCTTGCAATTTCCCAGTTGGACGGAAATATCCCCAATTTGTAAGAGTAGTTGAACAACTTGCAGAGAACAGGTGTTAGTTCGAGAGCATATTACTTGAGAACAATTGGTGGGATTCCGTCGGAGCCACAAGCTTTGTTGGTGTTGAGACCCAATAAAATCTTCCTTCTAGTACGTTGGCGAAAGGTGATGTCGGGCATATAACTGTCAATTGGCGTTATGTTTGGAGGTTGTTTTTCCGATGAATCCAGAGTGGAATTTCTACCAAATAAATGCGCAAAAATGTTGGCTTTCGCCTGGGCAGTTGTGACTAGTGATCCAACTTCCTTGGTTAGAGGAGGAAACGAGCTGGAAGTGAAGTTTCTTCCTACAGCTCTGACGAAGGACCAAAATGAACGGGATCCGTTAGGACATTCAACAAGTTTTGATCTTATTTCGGCATCATGAGCATCCTTTGATGATTGAATTGTCTCATTGCATATGCCTCTAGCCTCGACATATTCTGCTCTAGTCTCAGGGCCTGGATTTTTCTGCCATCGATGGAATGCTGCCTTTTTTCCTTTTTTTTTTAATTGACTCGGCCGTTCCTTGATGGAAATCCATGACAAATGTAAATACTTCACAAACGATAAGATTTCCACAAAATTCTCAAACACACGAACATGTTTCGCTAACACTGTAGCTTCGTCAGGTGATATACTGGTAATACAATGAACTAAACTAACGTATTTGCTGTCAACTCTTTCAAGTTAATCCGGTATACCGTATTTTAATGTAGATATTGTGCCTAATTCCCGAAATTATTTTTTCTAAGTTCAATATTGAACAACTGATAATTCAATCAAGCTTATTATAACGTACTGTGTTTGAACCGAGCCACTACACGTATTTCATAGCCTGCCTATGCTGATTTTTTTTTTTTTTTTTTTTATCGCTTGGAGCGCACGAAAGGGAATCCCTATAATGTTCAAAGAACATCGTGCGTTCCTAGGGAGGATAGGGACAAGAGGTAGGTATTGGAATTTTTTTTGAACTTTTGAAGATTATATGTTGTTGGGAATACTTCCACAGGCAATGAATTCCACAGCCTAGCCGTTCTATGGATGAAGGAGTCTTGATAAAGTGCTGTTCGACATCTTTCGAGGTTGACAACGAAAGGATGTGCTGACTGGGCTTGTCTTGTTCGTCTGATTGGTATTGCTAGTGGAGGGATGATAGCAGAGATTTCCGAAGAACATTTCCCGTGGAAGTATCGATAGAAAAGTGAAAGGTCGCCGACCTTTCTACGGTGTTCCAATGATGTCAAAGAGTGAGTGAGTGTGGCGTCACCCACCAGGCGAATGGCTCTTCTCTGGATGGAATCTAAGAGCATCAGCGTATGTTTTGGTGCTGAACCCCATATGTGGGAACAGTATTCTAGAACAGGCCGTATCTGCGCTTTGTAGATCATGAGAAGCTGTTGAGGTGTAAAGTAGCTTTTCGCACGGAACAAGAATCCAAGTTTTTGTGAAGCAGCTTTTGCGATGGATCTGACATGATTATCCCATGAAAGAGTGTTGCTGATGGAAATACCGAGCATGGATATGGTGGGCTTGGTGGGGATGGTGGAGCCAGACATTACAATATCGGGCATACTGAGTTCCGCCTTCCTAGAGAAAATGCAGGCTTGAGTTTTGGTGGCGTTGAATTCAACTAGGTTGTTTGTTCCCCAGGCTGTGATTTCAGCAAGATCTTCATTGACAGCATTGACCTGCCTGCGCCGTGAGTTCTTAGTTTCCTGGGAAGAAATGGGAATTCTGGAAGAGAACGCAGTATGGAGGGTACTATCATCTGCAAAGCTGTGGATGGGGCAAGTAGTTACTCCCAACAGATCATTGATATGAAGCAGGAATAACGTTGGTGCCAAAATTGATCCTTGTGGAACGCCGGAATTGATGCCAATGGTATCAGACGATACACCATCCACCACCACGTGAAGCGATCTGCCTGAAAGAAAACTCGATAAGAGATGGCATAGCTGAGGTGGTAAGCCGTATGATGGTAGTTTGTGGAGGAGTCCTTCGTGCCAAACACGGTCGAATGCTTTCGATATGTCCAACGCGACAGCTAGAGATTCCCCGTGTTTTTCTATTGAAGATTGCCATAAATGGGTGACGTAGGCAAGTAGATCTCCAGTAGATCTTCGGTGGCGAAAGCCGTATTGTCTATCATTGATGATTCCTGAGCTCTCCAGATATTTGATGAGCTCAATGTTGATGGCTTTCTCCATCACTTTGGAGATAACTGATAACAGGGCAATGGGCCTGTAGTTGTTGGGCAGGTTCTTGTTCCCTTTTTTGGGAATTGGTTGGACTCTAGCTGTCTTCCAGCATGATGGAAAAATACCCGACCTGTACGAGATGGTGAACAACTTGCAGAGGATCGGTGTGATAGTCGATTTATTTTGATGCTTAATTCATTTAAAGAAACCATGGTTGCGGCTACCGCCATTTTAGCCCTATCGGGCCCTCGGGCAACAAGGGCCACAACCAAACGTATATTTTAGCAAACATTTGCAAAATGATTTCCACGATATCATTCA